CTATTCCTATTACAAAACACTTGAGATCACTAATTTAAAAAAAGTTTATTTTGGTTTGTGGTTTTAGGTTGAGGACCAGAGGAGAATTAAGGCTTAATTGGCCTCCTCTGCAAGCACAAGGGAGAAGGCTGCTCTCAGGGGTGATTGCATATTAGGGAAAAGTTATACAGCTGAGGTTAAGTTGTTTACCAGAGTATGTACTGATGAATCCTGGAAACTAGATGAATCTTGTGTTACCTTGATTGCTTGCCCCCGTGTTTGGGTGAATAAAAGTAAGGTGAGCCAAAGGCTGGGGCTCCTCTGCCCGCTAGAGATGAGAGCTCCCCGGCTGCCCGCCTGTTGAGCTGACTTCCTGTCTCTTTATTATTCATCCTTCACCTGGGTCAGGGAGGAACAAAGTAGCGGTTCCAAGCCCCAGCAAAGCTGGCCAGGTGAGCAGGCTACAGGTGGCGCTGTGGGGTCGGGGGCTCTGGGGTCGCTTACATTTTAGAGGTTTTAAATCCTGATTAAACAGACTCACTGTTTTTAGGCTCTGGTAGGCCTGCCTGTCCAGTGGCAATAGTGGGGAGCATGTGGCAGAGCAAACCGCTCACCTGATAGCCAAGAATCAAAGGAGAGGAAGGGGCTAGGGTCTCCCAATTCCCTTCAAGGGCACACGCCCTGTGAACTAAGGACCTGGAATAGGCCTCATTTACTAAAGGTTCTACACCTCTAAATAGCACCACCCTGTGGAGGAAGCTGTTAATACACGGACTTTTGTGAGGGCATTCATCCAAACCATAGCCTCTACCAATGTTATTTTTATCCTTGAGATTTGAGAAACTGGGTAAGGGTCAGAATTCCAGTGGAGGTTGGAGGTGGAGAAAAGCAGAAAAAAAGCTGATCACAAGCTGAGAGTAACCTAAAATATGGTCTCAGGTCAGAAATCTGAATAGCATTTACTTTGATGTTCAGAATTAATGAGAAAAACTCTTTCAAACTTAGCTGTTCATAGAAAAAAACAGGCAGGAAGGAAAGAAAGAATGAGGGTAAGTGGGCATTCAGCAAGCAAGCAGGGGAAGGGGTGAAGAAAAAACAAAACAGAAGGAACTGGCTCAGCACAGTGAAGGCCAAGTTCAGGGAGGAAGTGATTCATTGAAAAACCTGGTACAATCAAGTAGCCTCAGCTCCTCCATCACCTGACACCAGAAATCTCTTCTCGTTCCCCCATCAAGGGATTATTTCTTGTATACAACACAGCAGTCCTTCTCTACCCTTTCAGGCAGTGCTGCTCCTGAAGCAGCAGCCAAAGAACAGAGTTCCTGTGTGCAGAAAACTTGTGCAAAATACTGCACATGTGAGTGGAAAGCAAAGAATGTATAAGCAGAGGAGGAAGAGGATATTCTGGAATCTGCGTTCGAAAAAGAATGAGGAAAAGCAATAGTGTATGTAGAGAAGTAAAGATTAAATAATCTTGGGGCCATAGAAAGTCTTAATGAAGAGAACCAAACTCCTCTCTTCTGGTTCTTTGATGCATTTAATCTGGACAGACACTGATATCCTAGGTAGAGTAACATATATGGAATTATAGAAGGCAGTATAATGATTCTAGGAGTTAGAGAAAAGGGGTTAAATTGTTTAGGTAGAGGGGTTCCCAAAGCATGTATATCTGAATGGACTGTGAAGCTTTTGGTGGGAATCCAGCTCAGGTAGGAACCTAAATTTCCTTCAGGCTTAGCATGCTCTTTGGCACACTAGTGTATATATTTTTTTTAAAAAACAAATTTTTCTGTATATATTCAAGACATAAAACAGATTATGAAATATATGTGGATAGTAAAAGGATTATTTCAGTGAAGCAAATTAACATACCCATCATTTCACACAGTTACTATTATTTTTGTGTGTTTGGTAAGAGCAGCCAAAATCTACTCACTTAGTAAATACATTAGTGACATGAGTACTCTGTTGTAGATCAGCTCTCTAAACTTGTTTATTTAGTGTATCTGAATTTTGTACTTTTTCAGTCTCCATATTGTCATCTTAAGCATGAGCAGTTAAGAAGGAAAGGGAGAGTCTTGGGGTGAGAATGGGAGAGTCGCCTTTCTTCTCTTCTGGCTTTTCTTAGACCACTCACTGCATCCACGAGCTATGCGGAAAGATCCTGCATGTTCACAGCATATAAAGCAACACGATCTCGTTAGACAGGGTTGGGAAATGCACTAAGAAATCTTGCATTGTATGGTTCAACTGCTATCCAGAGTAAGACAAAAGTTGAATGGTGTTTAATTTAAAGCTCTGAGTGACCAGCACAGTCATAGCTCTCACAGGAGAAAATAGTTAATATTCCAAGAAGGACATAACAGTGCAGTGTAAATGTTATGGGTTCTTATTACATACTTGTCAGTCTTATTATAAGACGATGTATTCCATTTTAAAGCTGCCTATCAATTACAAAGGTATATGCAAAAAAATTTAAGGATTTGTGTACTCTAGCTTAAAAGGTAGAATGCATGCAGTAAATAGGGCCAAAAAGCCCTCTGGGACTGTCTAAAAGAATGTCATTAAGTTTTACAGTGTATTTTCATTTCTGGAGCAGTTCCAGCATTGGCTTTCTATAAAAATCATTGCAAGTTTAGAATTATGTTGTATGCTTGCAGCAACATCGCAGGAACAGTAGTGTGCCATATGTTGCTACTTAGCAACTTGGTCTATAAGTCCCAAAGCATGTACTGATTTGAAAATTGAACAGGAATTATAATTGTTGAGTGGTGCTATGAGGCAAGTTATCTTGGATTACTAAACTATGCAGATGTTTGATGTTATATAGGAAAAAGAAACAAAACTACTTTTCCTCCTGTGGTTTGACTAAAATCTTATTTATGGCTGCCTAAAGGGGTAAATTGATTAAAATTGTCTAAAAGAATACCAGGTAATGAATTCTTGAACACACTATATTACAGTAAACAAAAGAAATGTTAAGTGTAAAATTTAGCGGGGGCCATTCAACGTATGTAATTTGTGAAGTTCATTCTCCTCCAGGGTATATATCATCTTACATTACATTAGGCCAATTTTTAAAATAGCTCATTCTAAAAAACTTTTAAAATATGTATGCTGCATTATTTAAAAAAAAGTTTGCTCTGGCTCACAAACCTGCATTATCTTTAAAAGTCATAAAAGTATTTGGAGCTCTTTATTCCTTCTATGTAAGTTATCATTGGTATTTGCAACATGTTTAGTAACTCTTGATTAAAATATCAAGAAAAATAATATTCATTGTTTAATTTCAGTAAGGGCTTAACATTATCCATTGTACTTGAATTTAGAAATCTAAGGAGCCAACTTGTTATGATGTATATGTTCTGAATTTCCAATCCTTTATCCAAAACTCCTTAAGAAGGACATAATGATTCTCTGAAAGGGAGCAGCTGCTTTATAACCATAATCATTTATTGAGTTTGTGTTTCTACTGTTTCAAACAAATTCAATTATCCCTTACACTTCAAAACCCTAAAGGCACCAAAGAGATGGTACTGGGTTGCTTTAATCTAATAGTAATACTAAACTTGTCAGTACAGTTTTGGGATTGATGGTTAGAAGAAAATTAATAGTAACATTTTTCATTTTTTAATCAAACAGTTCTATTCAGAACTACCTATGGATCTCGGAGGCTACTTAGCTGAATGAATTTAGTTAAGTATGAATTCCAAATGCAAAGCCTGGCCTTCCAAAGGCATTCTTAGACTGATCAACTCAATTGAACGGAAAGAAATGTAGTCAGGATCTTTGAACTTTGTGGTGACCTTTTCCACAGAACAGTGTAGTGTAGTGTCCAGGATGTCTGCCAGAGAAGGCTGTAGTCATAATGACTTCTAAATAAATGCCAAGTTCATGGAGATGCAGGCCTGCCTGTTTTGAGTTAAGCACCAGACATTTTGTTCTTGGAGTGCACCCTAACATATACATTAGATTTAATTCCCTGACAGCCACCATTAAGAAAAATAGTTTACTACTCCCTCTTTTGGCTCCCTCCCATTCCAGTTATCAATCAAATCTATCTGGATAAATTAAATAGGCATTGAAAACCACTCTGTTAGAGGGGTTTTTTTTGTTTTTGTTTTGTTTTTTTTCACTATGTTAGAGTTTACACTTTAGTGACCGATAAGTGAAGTTCCAAGGTACTGTGATTTTACTGATTTAGAATAAAATAGATTCGTGTCCACAAAATGCTCCTGTGAACTCTCCTTCACTCTCATTTATTCACTTATTTATTTTTGCTTACAATGTTCTTATATTTTATGTTAACCCTAGGGCAGTTATAATTTTGCTTTAAATGCCCTCTCTGGATTAAAGGGTCTGGTCTTAAGTATCTAAAAATAGCTAACCAAGCATTTACTTTTATAAATGTAACCGTTTACATTCTCATTGGACTTTTGTTGTCACTTCTCATGATTAAATACCTTGTCGACCATTCCCAGGGAAATGGATACAAAGGTGCCCTTGAAAGGTTTTCATCATATCTCCTTTGGGGCCAGAAAGCTACTCTGCCCCCACCCCCAAGATCTTAAAAGCAGCCTTCCAGTGCCTACCAGCTATGTGATCTTGGCGAGGAACAAAACATTTAGTTGAAAATGGCCCTAACATTTGATAATTAAAGCTATTTGTGACATGTGCAGCTTATAATGATTAACTTGTCTACAGTCAGAAGCACAAATAACCTGCACCTGTAAAGACTTTATTTCCTAAAGGTAAAACAACTGTTTAGGAAAGATCATGCTGGCAAAACAGCTGCTTGCCGTTCTGGAGAGGAAACAAGGTAGTATCTTTCAACAAATGCCAACTCTGGTATTTTATCAGCTCCATCTCATTAACTGGAAACAAGGCTTGAATGCTTTGTTTATAAATTATGATTATTCCTGATTGCGGCAGTTACTGATAGTGCTACTCATTTGCAATGCACCTCTTTGAATTTGTTTAATTACAATTTGAAACAAGGCAGAGAAGATTAATTAACCCACCTGGCTGGCTGGCACATAGTCCTGGCTCGGCTCTGTCATGCTCATATACATGTTCTCACCGTCAAACTGCGAATGAAATAATAGTAAACATTCAGCAATCTTGACTGTGTGTGTTTTTCTTTTTTTTTCTTTCTTTTTTTTCACCATCAAACTGGAAAACAGTAGCCATAAGATATACTGTGGCTGAGAAGATGAAAAAATCTGTCATAGCAAGCGAGTCACATCTTTTCTTTGATGTTTCTGTTGTCATTCTTCCTGACCCGGGATGTCAGTGATTTGGAGTAATTAGTGCTCTAGTAATTACAGCAAGCAAGCAAGAAATGAATGGTTTCCTTTCATCTGCAATCTGTTTTAAAACAAAATGGCTCATTTTGCACGCCATGTATACATATTGCAGTTCAGTTGTAATGAAGTATTAAATGAATGGCACCATTTCTGAAAGAAAAGAAAAATGGAAAATACAAGAAGGCACGGCCCGGTGCATTCTGAGTTTAGCAATCAAAAAACAAATTCCGAGTTTTTAGAATAGACTGAAACTTGCTTCACCAGAATAGTCTTTGGATTTAGAAAAATTTAACTTCATGGTAATATTTGAATAGAGCATGTGCCACTATAACCATGGCTAAGAATGGATACAAGAATAACAATGAATAACAATAACAAACATACAGGCCCAATGATTAAGTTTTCCTTTTTGAAAAATTTCAAAGACACAGAATTAATGTAAGCATTACAAGTCCATAGAAATTCATCTGCAAATTTGCAAGTTGGGAACAAGAGGGAAGGAGAGAATTCACAGAGGCAGTCCAATAGCAGGGGGACCATGAAATCCTCCAAGCCACAACAATGACAACAACAAAATACTTTTCACAATTTCAGTTTTTGAAAGCAGTAATCCCTCCATTCAGACTTAATCCTCCCTATCTTCAGTCACATGGTAAATGGGCAAAGGATTCCTCTGCCGTTACAGGAAGAATTTTTTCCAAGGTAATAAGCAAATGGATGAATATAACCAACTTCAAAGAGCTGGGTCTGAACATATGTTCAATGACAGACTTTTCAGACATGGGAACTTGAAAATATAAAAAATTAGGGTTTTTTTCCTATACTGAGGACTGAACCCAGGGTCTCCACACTAAGCTACATCCTCAGACATTTTTATTTTTAGTTTGAGACAGGATCTCCCTAAACTGCCCGAGCAGGATTCAAATTTGTAATCCTCCTGCCTCAGTCTCCTAAAATATTAGGATTACAGGTGTGTACCACAGTGCCTGACTGAAAAATAGTTTTCAAAATGGAACAGTTATCCATAGAGGTACAAGTGCACAGTAATATGGATATATTTTATACGTCTCCAAAACAACATGAAAACACTGTTAGATCAAAATGGAAAAACAATGTGTTACAGACATCACATTGCATCACATGTGAGCGGCTAGGCTTAAGTGTATACACTCAGGATGTACCAAGGCCTCTGAAACGTAGTCAGCAGCAGGGGGTGCCCTAAATAAACATAGCTGTAAAAGTAAAGAGGCCCCTAAAGACAGTGAGACACTTTAGATTAAACTGAAATAACAAAGATTTCTCACATGTCACTCTGTAAATATGCAAATAAGCTGTGTGATCAAGAGGAGTTCACTTAGTGAATGATGTGGTTATTAATGCAAATCAGAAATACCATAACTAGAATAGAAGAGGTGGGTATTTTGGGTGCCTTGCTCAGGGGCTCAGGAGCCCTGAGTCCCAGTGACAGACCCAGGGGTGCTAGTCCATTGGTCAGGTGTGCTTCAGCCCAAAGACAATCTGGTCCCAATCTATCCGAGTTACTCGGAAGAACTCCTAACCCGACTGTGACCACCGTCACACACTTCTCCATCTCCATGCACTCTTGGAGTACACTAGCTTGTTTGCAAATGTTTTTAACATTAAGATGCCAAAGAACCATTTAAAATATGGACAAATTCTTTGACTATAACAAACTAAACTGAACAGAAGTAGTGAAGTGAATCAACGACTCCACGGCCTGTGCATATTCTATCAATGTGTCACTTTCTGTTTCATCTTCTCTAACTCATTTTCTAAATCTGGTGTCATTCTCAAGCCAACTGAGGCTTTGAAGTTTTGGTTTTAGTTTATCCAAAGGATACACTAATTGAGTACATTCATGTTATGCTTTTGCTAAAGGCTTTTTCCTGAGTGCCAATACTTGAGAAATACTGAGTGGAGGCTGAAATAGCATTTTACAATAAAATGTATGTCGCTGTAAACATCATATTTTTTATTACATTCCTGCTACCTATATCTTGACATGCATTACCTGATATGTATTAACTGATTTAATCTTTGTAACAAAACAAGAGTTAGGAATTATTACCTGCATTTTAAAAATAAAGATAAAGCACAGAGAAGGTAAGCTAGATGCTCAAAGTTACAGAGCTTGTGAGCCTGGCTCGGATTCAAACCCAGACACACTGGCTTTCTAGTACATGTGCTTAGCCACCAGAGCACATGAATATATTCTGAGTCATAATGAGGAGTTAGTTATCAATTCTGAAAATACTGTTAATAAATTATCACAGCGAAGTGATGATAGTATATATTGAACATCCCTAATCTGAATATCCACAACCTGAAATGCTTCAAAATCCCAAACTTTTTGAGCACCAGTATGATGCCACAAGTGGAAAATTCCATATCTGACTTCATGTGATGGGTTGTAGTCAATACACAGGTATACAAAAAGTGCTGTATAAAATTATCTTCAAGATATATGTATAAGGTACATATATAAACATGAATGGATTTCTTATTTAGTCTTGGATCCCAGCCCCAAAATATCTCATTTTATATATATACAAAAACATTCCAAAATCTGAAAAAATCCAAAATCCAAAAACGCTTCTGGTTCTCAACATTTCAGGTAAGGGTTTCTTAACCTTGCCAGGAATTTCTCTGGTATTGTGAGACTTTCAAAAACAGCAAAACCTAAAAACAAGAGTCATAGAGATCCGACAACTTAGCCTGGCAAAATGTCACTGGATGCTTAAAAGACTGAGGCAGTTATGATAGTTAATTTTACATATCAACTTGCTTGGGCCCTGTGTTGCCCAGGTATTTGGTTAAATGTCATTCTCGATGATACCAAGAGAGTGTTTTGGATAGGATTAACATTTAAATTGGTAGAGTGAGTAAAACAGATGTCTCTCCTGAAGTAGGAGGGCCTCATCCAAACCGCCAAAGGCCTGGATTCCTCCGGCCTGGCTGTTGAGCTGGAACATCAGTGTTTTCCTGACTTTGGACTCAATTGAATCACTGGCACTTCTCAAGTCTTAGGCCTGCCAGCTCTCAGACTGGAACAACACAACCAGTGCTCCCAAGTCTCCAGCTTGCCAACTGCAGAGCTTGGGACTTTTTAGCCCCTATGAGCATGGGAGCCAGTTCCTTATAAGAAACCTGTTTGTGTCTCTATGTCTCTTCCTAACACACACACGCACACCCTCTTGATTTTGTTCTTCTAGTTAACACTAACACAGGTCACATATTACTATCAGGACATTCAGAACTTCAAAAGCATGTATCTGGAGGGCTTACCATGTGGAAACGCATTTATTTCCTGCTATCACTTGCTTTCCAGAGAGCCATGTTGGTTTCACTGAGTCTTTTTTCCCACCTCCTGTGTTGCTGCACCTCACACATGATTCTTGTTGCCCCCAGTGCCTTCCTTTCTCTTGTGGAAATGTTTCTTAGACTCCTAGCTCACCTCAGTGAGCAATGGGCTGACACACACTCATCGTGCTTCCCTGGGCAGCCCTCTGTTACCAGGCAGCTCTCGTGGTTCGGCGGTTAACTGCACTGTACCGTAGGCTACCACAGGAAACAGTACACATCTCAGTTATCTTTAGTGCCTCTGGAGCTTAGGGTCAGCACATGACAAGTCCTCAGAAAACATTGCCTAATTAACAAAAAATGAACCATACTGGCTTGATGAAATAAATCACCTTCCTTGAGAGAGGGGCAGTAGTGACTTTCCAGCTCTCAGAGAACGTTTTGATAGGTCTTTTTTTCTATATCTATATCTACATCCACTAGGGAGTAGGATGGATATTTGTATATTTTAAGAGCATCAATTCTTCCAACGCATGAACATGATTGATCTATCTATAGATATATCAATGTGTCTGCACTAGTGATAGCTGTACTTCCATGTTCATTGTAATATGGAAACAACCTAAGTAACCATGGATAGATGAATGGATAAAGCAAGTGTGAAATAAAAAATATTGTGAATGTTTAAAACTTAGCATAGTAAAAGATGCATTGTCAAGAATGATGCAATAAGCCTGTTTAAAGCGAGAGGGAGTATTTTGAATATTTTGAAGGAAGTAATGGCAGTGTATCTTTTACTGTAATAATTTTTTTCAATTTAAACATCCATCATAGGTTTTGATCAGCTTATATATAATATATGAATATTATTCAGTTTTAAAATAAAAGGATATCTTGCCACAGGGACAACATGGGTGAGCATGGAGAACATCATGTTAAATAAACCAGACACCTAAAGAAAAATGCGTATAAATTCACTTAGAGGTAGAATAATAAAGTCCAGTTCCCGGAAGAAGAGAGTAGAGAGTGGTTACCGGGGCAGGGGTGGGGAAATTGGGAGCTGTTGCTCACAAAGCTCAAAGTTTCAGTTACACAGTCAAAACGCCCAAAGTCTTGGTTTTCAGTTACTTTTCTAGAGATCTAGTGTGCAGCACGGGACCATAGTTAGTGTTGTATACCCCTGACTGGAGGGAGTTCTGCCCTTCTCAAATTCAGACCCAAGAGTGGAGGTACCAGGGTGCATTTTTTCTCCAGCTTCCACGAGTCAGCCTCACTAGGGTTCATTTCCCCTTTGAAGACATTTTCTTCCCCTGGGAGACTCTCTCTTATTGGTAGGAATTGTCTGCAATTGTCCCAGTCTTTTTCCAAAGATAAACATATTGGCCTGCAGCAAAACAATCTAAGATACACAACACAGGAATGGAGCTGTAGAGTGTTACCTCACAATTCTGCCCTGGAAG